ACCCTCCATCTCCCCCTCCAAAATGAGAAGGCCTCCCAGTGTTACCCCCCAAATATAACACAAGATTCAAGAAGACCACGTACATACTCCCACATCATGGATAGGCAAGGGAAACCAGTATGTGGAAAAGTGTCTCAAGAGCAGGGAATAGAGTTAGAGATACCCCCATTCTCAGTTATGACTCACTTGTCCTACCAAATCCTAAGCCAACAACAATAACATACAAGCAAAGGACCTAATGGACCTTCTCCTATGCACTGCTTCAATCTCTATGAATCCTTCCCCATGCCTGCCAAGTTGATCCTGGAGGCCATGCTCTTCTGGTGTCTTTAACCCCCCTGTTTCTCGAAGTTACTTGCACACCTCTTCTATGGAATTCTCGTAGCTCCACGGGAAGGGATCTGATGGAAACTTTCATTTTGGGCTATCTCTCTGGTGAATCTTTGCCTAGGAATTCTATTGATCTCTGAAAATAGCAGAATATCATTAGGAATCATATCATTGATTTTTTTGTCAGGTGTAGTTGTGTTTGGTTCTACACTAGATCTCTGTGCTATCCTTCCTTTGATTCCTAGTCATCCAGATGATGTGAGGAAGAAGCTCCCTTTTATGGCATGGACATTGCTGGAGATGAGGTGTCAGACAGATCATGAAAAGTGGCAGTATATATGAATTGACTAAAGGGGTAGGTTTCCTCTAAGGCCTCATACCTAGAATTATATGTGGAGCAATGTCCAGAAAGGGAACTGATTCAGCAAGGCCTGGTTCCCAAAAGGTATATGTAAAGGTGGCTGGAGATGACCCTCCGTGCCTGTAAATAGCAATGCATATTTGGAAGCAATGTATTGTGGGCATCCATTGGGGAAGAACACTAACCTGTGTATTTTGAGCTGCTGCAACTGGAGAAAGAAAGTCCAGCAGGACCTGGGAGATGAAAATATATTTGATGATTTGATGGCAGGAGGGTGGGACATCTAGTAAATCCTGATATGTAACAGTGTATGAGAGATTCTGTTCTATCAGATTGCTCACAACCAGAGGCTGCGTGATCTGAGGGCTATGTGTGTTTCCCTGAGATATTTTCCAGTAGCATATTCTGACCTTGCAGACCCTGGCAAACCAATGACAACACACTTTCCCACCCTAGATCTGTGGATTGCCAGGGCCATCGTGAGCTTGTCAATGTCTCTCTCTGATCCACACAGCAGAAGGCTGTCTTTCTTTTTGGTGAAGAACAAAGGTGCTGTAAACTTTACCCCTTCATGACTAAAGTTTTCAACCAAGAAAAATTTCACAGGATCCAAAGTGTGTCTGTATTAGTAATGCAGGTATGTCAATTAAATGATTGCTTTAAATAAACTGTCAATTTGTTTTAAGATAGAATTATATTCATATTGCTTTAATAATTTATAAAGCCAAAACCATTTTCACACAAATAAGATCCCTAACCTTACTCATGTTTACATAAGTCACTAAACCTTGAATGAATGTTTGACATGAACCATTGATACCTACAAGTTCACAGAAGGTGAAGCTATGAGGCTATCGTGTGAGGGTCTGATGCTGTCAGGCATTTAGGGTTTTACAAGCAGAGCCTGGTACCTGTTAGTATATGTGATGTGGTGATGGGAGAGGAGGGCTGAGACCTAGGGCTATAAATTTGGATCTAGTGCGGTTGGAATTGTGTCTATTATGGTCTGATACCTAGCCTTGTATGTGTGTTGCTACTTGAGGAAATTGTCCAGGAGGCCGGACACAACTGTAAATTTAAAATGGAAGGCAACAGTGCTGAGTCTAGCTAGCAAGGCCTAAAGAATAACATTTTAATTTTGGTGTCAGTGTTCCAGGGACCATGTTCAAGAGGACCTTATTCCTATCATAGCGTGAGGGGTAGTGTCCAGTAAGACAAGGTAACAATGTATGAAGGGTGGACAAAAGTTGTGAAGCAAAGACCAGTGGATAACAGTGTGTATGTGGTGACAGAGGTCAAGGAGCAGTATCCAGGAGAACGTGGTTACTAGCAGTCTTTGTGAAGTGTGTGTGTGTGTGTGTGTGTGTGTGTGTGTGTGTGTGTGTGTGTGTTTGATATGGGTGCTGCTGCCTGATACCTAATGAGTACCTGGGATTTGTTGGAAGACTACCAGGAGGGGCTAATACCTAAAAGTGAATGTTGGTTAGGAATAAGTATACAATAGGATGTGATACCAAGTAGTGTATTTCAGTTTGCAGCTTCCAGGGAGGATGAGCCCATCAAGACTTGCCAAACTCATGTGACTTTGGCATTATCAGAGGGGGATATCTTGCAAGGTCTGCTTCTAACAGTGTATGTGGGGTAAGAGCACTATATGACCTGACACCTAGATGTGTGTCTGTGGCAATGTCCCCTGTGTATCCATCTGGGCATGTTCCCTAGTGGTCTATGTGGGGTGGCAGAAGAGGTGAGCATATATCTAGAAGGCTCTGATATCTTGTCTTGTTTGTGAAGTGTCAGCCTGGGGCTGTTGTCCAGCAAAGTGTGATATCTATTAATTTTGACAGGAGGGCATCACCTACTCCAGTGTAGTTTTGGTGGCAATGGAGAGGGACTATCAACAAACTCAGTATGTGTGGTTTATGAAAGTGGGAGATCTGTGGGGCTTGGCACTTAGTTGTGTATGTATGGCTGCAGAAGTTTGTGCAGCTGGACCTCACACTTAGATCCCATGGTGCTAGACAGTATGGAGGGAGTGTCGGGCAGGCGATGATTTTTAGCAGGGGTGGTGGTGGTTATGGAGCCTGCTAGAGTGACTGGCACCCAGCTGGGACTGTAATGGTATAGCATTTTGCACACTGTGTCCTTTCTCATCTGCCTAAGGCATTCTCTTAAAGACTTTAGTAAAGAACTGCAGTCACATATCTCTGAAGAAGTTGGGACTTCTGCACCGAGAGAGGATTGGGGGAAAGTTCAGAGGTGGGAGGGACTCAGCAGTCAGGCATGGAGAAAGTCAGATGTACTGAATGAGAGGCAATGGGACATGGCAAACGTGAATTAGAATAAAGGGGTTAATGAAGTTATACTTGTTTTTTGTGTGGTAGGAAGCTATGGCCTAAGCTAAAATAAAAAAATGTAAGTCACCATGGCATTATTCAGGAGCTGGTAGGTATAAATGTTCCAGTGATAGTTCTGTGAGATACTTCAGGAAATAATAGTGAGTATAGGCTGTGGGTTGGCTTGCCACAGGGCCTGATACATAACAGTCCATGTGGAGTGTCATCAAGAGGGAGGTGGTTATTTACCAAGACCTGGTGTCTAGCAGTGCCTCCAGAATGGGTAGAAGGACAGAGGACACAGTACCTAGAAGTTTATGTGGGGCCGAGGTGTGGAACAGTACTAAGTACCCAGCGTTTTTGTGGATTACAGGAGGTGTCCATGTGGCCCTGATAGGAATCCCACTCAACCAACTGTAAATCCCACATGTACTTCTGTGTAATAAGTTTTCCTGCATACTCTCACATGGATACTGTTTATTACACTGCTAGAAGTCAGTGTCTGTGCCTTGGAGGCCTGCAATCTGAAGGTTGGTATGTGGCGTGGATATGGAGGGGTCCATCAGAGTTCGATGAATCACCAGGCTGCTGGCTGCCTCTAGTGATGTGTGTAACAGGACTCGATTTATAGCATGTTATGTGGCATGGATGCAAAGGCTTCAAAGGACCAGAGAATAAGCCCAGCCAGTGGAAACATCTGTACACCTGAGCTGGAGCCCAACAAGTATACAAGCTATTAATAGCAACATGCATGGAGAACCTTCCCCTGCTCCATCACTGTAGGACAGAAACCACTGTGCTGAAAGGCAGGAGCATGAACCAGGAAGCAGCTACTATCTGGGAAAGAGTCATGAGCAGGGAAGGAAGAGCTCCAGGAAGGAAAAGAGTTTCTTTGTAGGAAAAAACCAAGTTTATTACCAGGAGTCATGGGGGAAACATGGCTGGGTAGATGGGACATCTAGAAAATTCCTAGTGTGGGAAAGCAAGATGATCTGAATCATCTGCCCCTTTACCTATTCTGGTAAGGTCTCCTGGGTGTCCAAGGCTCCCTGGACAGCAACACCTGAGTGCGTCTGTCATCCACTTCCCCTTGTCCTTGACTGGATGGTTCTCTTTGGTACTTATAATCAGCCACAGCCCATTCCTTTCTTTTGACTTTGATGTGGGTCAAAGGTTTTATAGGCAAGACCTGACTGCTCTTTGTCTCCAATTTGTGTGTATCTGAATGAATGTTGGTGCCCCAACCCAAGCTTTATTCTAATTTTACCTGGGTTACAGGCTCTCTGGACAGTGAGACCTGGCTTGTGCTTGTCTCCAGTTATCCTGTACCTTCATGGATGTTCATTTCCCTTGGGAGTAAGTAACAGGTCAAAGCCCATTCCTCTCTTCACTTGCTTTGGTTGTTTTTCACAGGCTCTCTGGGCATCAATGCCTGACTGCAGTTTGTCTCCACTTCCAACTGCAAATGGATGTTTGTGCTTGTCTGGGCTAGCATGGCCACAGCTCATTCTGCTTGCTGCTCTGCTATGTTTTGAGTCATAGAGACCCTCAGAAGTGTGGAATGAGGCACCCAGCTTGGATATCAACATTTTTCCACTTTACTTTCTTTTTACCTTTCATGGGTCCCCTTCAATGTTCTCCAAGATCTGGAACCAAACATTCACAAGGGATTGCAATACAGCTAGCATATAGTAGAGGAGCTTTTTTCTTGTTACAACCATGTGTGTCTGCTCAGTAGCTGCTGGTGGGGGGTAGAATTCTCCAGAGAATCCTGCTGTCCATTGCATTTTGTGCTGAGGTTTCCACCATATTGAAAAATATTCCTTGTAATGTTCTTCCAAGAGCTTTTAGAAGTAGTCTCTCCTTTTTCTGGTATCCAAGCCTTAGTTGTATACTTGAGCTCTGTGGAGCTCTGTGTGGAAGGCCTTAAAACTCTCAAGCCTTTCTCCCTGGCTTATGGCTCTAGATCTTACAGGACTCTGCGCCTCTTGTCATGGGGATGAAACCCCTTGAGATCCTTCACTTCGATCTTATCCTTCAGGACTCTGTTCTCTTGAGTATTCACCCTCTCAGGTTTCCTCATGCAGACATCACATAAGCCCTGGGAAGTCTTGAGTGTTTGGCATATATTGTGTAAGTTGGGCAGTGAGTGCTGTGAAGGCAAGCTGACCTTAGCAGGGTGTAGTCAAGGAAGGAATGATGTTCAACAGGATTCATGTAGGACAGATTGCCTGTCCTCAGTGCAGTGTTCCTGGGCTTCAGACTCTTCCCAGGGCTTCTGCTTGAAGGTGAAAGGCACATCTTTGTCTCCTAGACCAAGGCCCTTCTTGATGATGCTATGTATCTCACACTTTGCTAATTCCTTCTTTAAGGGTACCCCTGTGGGCACAGACCCCAATCTTTTTTCTACATTTGTAGCTTTTGGAGTTGAGGATGGAGAGCTGGGCAGACTGGGAGAACTGAGGCCTGTTCTTGCAATAATGATCACTATTTTCTGGGAAATGTCCTTGAAGCTGGGTCAGTTTCCTGGATGGGAGGAATCTGAGGGGGGTTCCTTGTTGTTCTCCCACAGTAGTTGCCTTGCCTTCATTATCTGGCTCCTCATGATGCTGGAGCATCTGACAGTGCTAAGGAAGGAAGGAAGCTGACCTGATAGCTTTATAGTATAGGGTGCCCTTGGACAAGTTTCTAATGGGCTTGCTAATAGCTTATTGATAATTTTTGATATCATATCCTATGTTGCCTTCCTAATACTTTCCATGTAGCCAGGACTGGTTTTAGTTGGTAGAGATGTCTGTGTACCTCTCTCAGTGTTAGTGCATGCTATTCGAAAGGTCTTACTCAAGAAACAAGGAGGTATTTGGTTTATTGTAGAGCTTGGTAGGTTTTCCAGTCACACCTACTAAGCTTGGTGTCACAACTTGATGAGGCAATGGCTGGTCCTGGGAAAAGTGTGGAAATCCTTGATCCTGAGCTAGATCTTGGGAAGGGCCACCTGCATTACAAAATGTCAGAGATTTATGTTCTACTGATTTATGTCTGTTGAATATCTGGGCAGTAGTCACAACTGTGAGAACACAGATGTTATGCCCCATAAAAGTAAGCTAAATTTCTTTTGTATAAGATCCTCCAAGACCTTGAGGTAAGACAACAGCTGAGAGAGAGGAAGGGGATCCATTTTCTGACTAGCTTCCTATAAGGGAGGTGATGTGGAGCCCCAAAAAGTTGCTTGATTGGACTGCAAAAGACAGGAGGTGAAAGCATCAGCCCCAAGCAGAAGATGAAGAGGCCCATCAGTCTGTGTAAATATGAGACCCGTAGCCCTATAGTCTCTCTGTTGCCTACATATGCTATGTTCCTTAGTCTCACACCCAACAAGGTATCTTCCAATCCCACCCTTCATAACATATTCAGAATGAGATGCCCAGACCATGAGCTCACTTTCTGGTATGAAAATTTCATAAGACAAAAATTCCTTACATTTTTATAGATTGTGATGGTGTCTTGATCTCTTCCACATTTTTCAGCCATGTTTACAACCTGGAAATAGTTATGTAGTATCAGGACAAGGGAGGATTACGCACAGGAGTGAGGCATCTCTCTTATGACTACCCATGCTAGGACTGTAATGCTCAAGCACCATAGTACATGCACAGAACACTGAATGTGAGCCAGAGGAATAGAGGAACAACGTGTCTCCATTTACACTTTCCTTGCCCCTCCCTCCACTCCAATCATTCCCCTTACAATGCCACAAGGGCCACAGCATCAGTTATCTCAAAGAAAATGCAGCTGGGAGAATTGAATCTACAGGCTGGCAGGTGGACCTGGGAATCTCCTATTCACAGACACAGCATCACTGCACTGCCTTGAACAACACTCCTGTGTATAGTGCCCTGGCGACCCCACCACAGCTTCTTTCTATCACAAAACCTGGGATTCCATGATTCTGATTTCCTTCCCAGTGTCCCCCTCTTCCTTCATGCATCTCAGGTCCTCAGGGGCAAGGCTCTCATCATGACCCTCTTCACTGAGGGCCAGGCCAGACAGAATTCCTCTCGACAGGAAAACAGACGCCTACCTTTTACAGTAGCATTTCCTTGCCTTGCTCCGTCCCCTCTGCACATACTGCCAATTAAAATCAACAGAAATGATCTAGGGTCTCTTCTTTATCTCTCTGGTAGTCACACTGCCTGCTCTCTGTGCTCATGGATAACATGAAATCTTTATTTCCCAGGGAGCTCTCTCTCATCCATCCTTGACTCATATTGTGCATAAGCACATTTCTGTTTTGCCTTGTTGGGAAACAGAAGAAGATTCTGTCTGTGCCATACATACCAAGGATGTCCTCAATCAGTCTTCTTCAAACAAGATCCTATCCAAGGCTGAACCCTGCTCCCTCTTTCCAAATCCTGATGCTTAATCAGGCACAAATAGATCTCTATCCATGTTTTGTTCCTTCTTTCTGAGTTCAAAGCTTAGCTGACATCCTAACTGTAACAGTCTGAAAGGCTGAATGGGTGAGCTAGTTGTTCTGGAAATGCCCTGGAAGCACGGCTTTAGAGGAAATACCTTTGATGTAATTGAGGTAGAACTAAACAAGGAACTGTAATGGAAGGTTCCAGAATCTCACCTTCACAGAGTATGAATCTTTGGGTCTTGACTTCTTATTTTCTATGACCTTAAGGTACATCATTAGGTTGTTTGGGGGTCTCTCAGATTTTATGTCAAATTCATAGCTATAAACTTCTGAGATGTTTTATATTTCTTCCTAGCACCATGTGGTGCTACTGTTTCCCCACAATAAAGTGGCAGAGATGGAGGCAAGTTTTATGACAAGCCCAGTGAAGAGAGTATCCTTTAACATGATTCCTGAATCTTCTGTCACTGAGCTGTGGTGCATTCAGGGAGGTCAAACTGGCATGCTATATCTCCACACATAAACCAGTAACTGTCCAGGTACTGGAGAAGAGCAACAATGACCTGAGTGACATCACCTCTGAGGTAGAAATCATTAAATCATTGGAACATCATCAAATTCTTTCACATGGTTGATATACCACTAACCACTTAAATGATAACAGCATGTGTGGCAGGAGGAGACCCAGAGAGGGGCCTCAAGGAGCTGGGCTGTATAAAGGAGGAAAAGGCAGGACTAATTCTCCAGCAGGTTGTACTACCAGTTCAATTACTGCGGGAAAGTTACATGATCCCTAAGATATAAACTAGAAAACATCCTAGTGGATGCAACAGGGAATTCAGAGATTGTAACTTTTGCTTCAAAACTCAGATGTGAACATGTTGGGGAAGGCCTGTGCCTCTCTGTTCTATTTAACCCTAGAAATAGAAATCCCTATAATAGCTTTACTGTCCACATGTGAAGCCTAGGCATCCTCTATGTCAGGCTCACAGGATAGCTTCCATACTTAGACAGGCATGCACTAGGTCACCACTTCCACAATGTGTCGTCATCCCCATCACTTGTCCAAAACTAGCCAAGTTGTTATTGCACAAATGCTGATGGTTTCCCCCACATCCACTATATGGTATGGCAATTGGTCACATTGTGGGAACATCCATTGCTATGCCTCAAAGAAATAATTCTCATGGCCATGGAGATCATGTACATGATTGGATACAGGCTTCAGGAAATTGAGTCATAAGTAAAACACAGGTTACTAAATGAAGGTCACAGCAACATGCAATATATTGAAACATCAACTGGGTTGTGGGGAAAGCCATCTGCTAACTGTGAAGCCTTGAACTACCAGCCTTGAAACATACTTTTTGAAATAGCTGATATTTGCCTTGTCATTTGAAGCAAAGAGAGATTTATGTCAAGGTCTGATGCCCATGCCATCAAAGCCACAGTCATATGCTGGATCACATACTGTTAGGGATGGACCAGCCCTTGCCCTACTCCCACCCCTTCCTTTCAGAAAAGTGTGTACCTGCTTTACAATCTCTGTATCACCTGGGAAGAATCACCTATAGGAGGATAATGAGGAAGGAATGAGGAAGAATTGCACCAGGCTTAGCATGACTAACACCCCAATGCTCTCTGAAGAAGATGCCCTTTCCATGCTTCCAGACCTAGAAGATAATGCTGTGACTGTTGACATCAATAGCAGTATTCTGAAGAACACTGAAGTGAACATGACTTTGGGTAACATCCTACTTAATAACCTGCCCTCCCTAAAGTCAGTCCAGGATGCAACAATCATGAGGTTAAATGAAAAGGGTAGAAATTTCATCCCATGGAACCAACAACTGAGACAGATACACCCAGCAATCAGCCTCAGGTTGTTCCACAGGGTCTGCCTACAGGGCACTCAAGGCCTAAAAGGGAATAAGGAGGTGAATTACTGAGAACAATCTGCTGCTGTGTGCCCATCCCACTGTGAGCCACAAATCCTTGCGGTAAGGGCTACAAAGAAATGAGAGGAGAGAACCACAGGAAACCCAGTTGGTCAGGCCACCAAGATGAACATCTAAATTGTTTTTTAACTGTGATTTTGGAAATCCTTTTGTCATTGACAAATTGTATACACTCATGGAGTAGAAAACTGAAGAAATCAATTCATCTAGAAAGAACAATGCCACAGTACCACCTTACATAGAACCATGCAAAGTTGAGTCAGAAGTAGAGAGAAAAGCATGGCAAGTAGAAGGTGGGGAGGGAGGGAGGAAGGAGAGTTTGACAAGATGGAGCAAAGGTTCCCCCTGCTCCCACCCTGCTTCGGTTTGGGTGCTTGTGCTCTTGAAATAGAAGACAGCAATGGGACATTATAGAAGATCAGGCATCCAGAATGAGAGCTAGCAAGGAAAACAGAATGCACTCTTTAAAAAAGTAGTGGGCCTAGCAGGATGGGCTCTCATGACTCTTGTCACTGTCATCCCTTCCATGTGCCTCCCTAAGCATGGGCACACACAGGACTGGAACATGCTTCTCCTGAAAAGCCAGTTTACCAGGGATTCAGTCTAGGCAGATAGATAACAAGATTCAAAAATATGTGTAGGAGTAGAAGCACGCCCAGAGCTGAATAGTTTACTAGTGGTGGCCACATGCTTCACATGCTCCCC